AACCACTGGCCACTCATATTTAAGATAAACATTAAGAAGCTATAATGCTGAAAATATAGAAATCTAATGTTGAACCATGCCAAATGCGAATGGATATCATGCTGACCAGCCTTAGAGGTCATTCAACATGATTAAACTGCCTCAAAGATCAGAGGGCACAACACTTTTCTGGGTCCCCTACCAATGGGATGATGGAAATTCGTAGCTAGGCCAGCTGAAATGTCCGGGGGAGCAGCCAATCACTTGCGAGTGCCTGTATCACCGCAGATCTTCATGATCTTGAAGAGATTTATCTGATGAAATTCAGATTTCAAATATAAATCCCACTATAAAACATATTGACATACATTGCTATTGACATACAGTGCTATTAACCCAACCCTGGTACCCTGCTGTTTCTACACAATGGCATATCACATATGATCATCCCCAGATGGGCAAGTGACCATTCTCATATGATGCATCATAATAATGTATCATATGATATCATATGTGTAACACCTAAAGGCCATTAAATAATTAAGCCCAATGGTTTCTGATAAAATCATCTCTTATCATATTTCTAGACCACCTAAAATTCCAAAAACCACCACACAACATTAAAAGAAACATGGAAAAACATGTTTCTGCACTGCTCCTGGCCAATCCAACCCAATCCAAGCCACCTCCGAACAGGACCGGTGACACGCCCTCAGCCAACGTCCGCGCGCCCGAGATGAGGCCCTGCGCCGTGGCCGCCTGCGTCGGCGCGGCCGACGCAGATGCCAGGGAGTTGGCCGTGGGGAAGACGGCGAAGGCCAAGATGCAGCCCAGGGGTGGCAGGAAGACCTGGAGATCAGCCATGATTTTCGTGGCGATTTTGGGTTTTTTGGGGGATTTCTGAAGGGATTTCATGAGGTCACTTGGCGAAATTTGGCGGGAAGAGCCCTCCGAATTTAAGGGGTCAAGGCATCAACATGAAGCAAGCCATGTTGGATCCGCCTGCCAGGGCTGCCACACTATGCCAAAGAAAGCCACAGAAATGGTGTTGGCCACCATGCCCAGGCGCATCAGGGCCAGGTCGCCCATAGATTTTTGGAGTTTGGGAACCACAAAGAGCAAAGAGAAAGAGGCCTTCAGTGGTGGTTCGTAGTGGAAAAATCTGGAAAAAAAAACAGTGGCAAGATGATATGGATCTGGTAATCTCACATGTTCTCAAGCCATCGCCATTAGAATAGCTAAATCATCTATATATACTGTAGATGACCTTGCATGCGTACTGTAATTGTCCATCTCCAACGATTGAATTACTAGAGAGTACGGGGCTGAAAATGATGGGACAAGATCAATTCCACCGGCATATCATATATCATCTTTCACATGGCTATATGTTTGGGACAAAAAATGACGCTGGGTGGTTGCCAATGCTAGAACGAATCCATTTTGGTGAATTCCGAACTCGAAATCGGGACAATTCTCCAAAATCGAACTGAAACCACCGACCAGATGCAGACAGGCCCACCAACAGCAGTTCGCAGGCCAGGTAGACCGCTGTGAAATGAAATCGTGACTCCAAATACCTGAACATCCAACCGAAGCTGCAACTGATCACAAGAATGGAATGGAGTAACCCGACAATGACTGTTCCAGAAAATGTGTTTGCTTCAAGCCACACCCTCTCTATTGGCAAGTCCGAGGGGCAAAAGCAACAAGGAGACCAGCATCTGCTCGGCCAAGAAATCTAGAAACACAACCACACTCAGGAGTCTCAGCGTTTCATTCTCCTACAGGAGAATCAAGTCAACAGAGTCATCACTTGCACATCCTGATGCATAGAACAACTGTCAAATCTTGAACTGTTGGATAAATTGTCTTGCATCGTGGATCCTCGTGGTACATTGTGGTTTCTGCCCGTTTCAATCCAAAAAAAGTACATAATTATTACATGTAATACATGTCAAGCAAAATCAAGACAACTTAAAGTCCTCCCAAACATTGAAAATCCCTTAACATCACAAAATAGCGCGTTTCACGTACATCCCAGAATATGAGCTGTAATTACTCAGAATAGCTCTTAATCTATTCCCAAGTTGATCTATTCACCAAATTCCCCAAAATCATCCAAAATCACACAAAATCCACCAACATTCACCCAATTTTTCAAACTCCCCCAAAATTCCCCAGTCCTTCAGAATCTTCATCACCTCTCCTCCATTCTCCGCCCCGGCCGTGTCGGGCGCCCCACGCGCCTCGCGCGCCGCTGCCGGCCACGCCGCCGCGACCGCGGCGGCGCCCGCCGCCAGCCCGGCGGCGCCGCCAGCGGCGCCGAAGCCCAGCAGGGCGCCTAGGGCAGCACCGAGGCCCAGGCCGCTGCTGAGGGCGAAGTTCAACAGGGCATAACCTGCTGTTTTGATGGGGACGTGATGTGATGTGAAGAATTTTATATGGGGAAAATGATGCAGTTACTTTTGCCCAAAAATGGGATAGATCACTTTTTACTATCCAAGCAATTGATGGTATCACAGAGTATCCATGAAGACAGTGGATACCCTGCCAATTTCAAAATCCAGAAATATAAATTGAATATGATATCTTCGAACGAGAAACAATCTGCTAATGTATCACCTGGGGAAACTCAATTTGGGATCTTTACAAGAAGTATATTATATGCTCTGAAGCAAGAAAAAGGACATGATGATTAGATGGTTAAAAGCATGGTGGTGTATGAGCAAAAACTGGGGATAGGCCTAGGAATTTTCATAAGCGATCAACATACTCTAGTTTACCTGTCAGTAAAAAGTGAAGAGGCTTCGCTGACAAACTGTAAAAAAACTCAATTTTATGCACGGGAAAACCAAATGGTTGCAGCCTGCAGCTGGTTCAATCTTCCACTGGTGGGAAATCTACAGGAAAGCCAAAGACTGAACCAACCTAGTGCCAACCTAGCCGCATCTGGTGTGTTGTTTGGTGGCTGTTCATCACAAAGTATCCTTGCTAATGGGGGAATTCCCTGGGTACAAGTAGAATGGATAGTTAAGGAAACATGTAGTTGTATATCTGAAACCACCAATCAGCTGTGCTACAGTATCTTGCGGTAGTCTATTGGAAGGGACTGGTTGCTGAGACTGGTGGGAATCAACGTCAGTGCATTGTGCCACTGTCTAGAATGACATTTATAATATATGTTATATGACCTTTTGAGAGATTTCATTATCCAATACTTAATCAGCCAAAAGTGATCGTTTACAACTTTAACCACTTAAGTTTACCCCCTTTAATTTTGAAACAACATTCGATTTCTCATCCTCGTCCCACGAAATCGCAAGCCCTTTGATGGGGGTAAAACTGTACCTCATTTTCACCTGGTGTTTCACAGTTCGATCCCGGCCTTCCGTGAGCTTCGCAGTTCGCTGAGGCACCAGCGTAAAGCAGAGGCACATGGCTGGCCCACTGAGGCCCAGCAACGTGTCGACGAAACTGAAGGCCAAGACCTCAGGGAGAACGAGGTAACGAGGTCGTTTTCGGTTGTTTTGATGTTGAAGATATGATGCTTTGCCATGGTATAGATGGCCTATAGAAATAGATAGTTTAGATGGTTTACCGAACTTAATAGCATGGTGACTTTGCTGTATTTAACAGAGATAACAGAGATACCCTCTGGTTATGACTATATAACAGTTTGCCATGGTATAGATGGCCCATAATAGATGGTTTACCGAACTTAATAATAGCATGGTGGATCTTTCCATGGCGAACTGTAACAAATAACCAGATGGTAGTTCCAACAGTTTCCAACAATGATATCTCCATTATCATGTCCATTCCAATAGGGTTCATTGGTGTTCCATATGATGGCCGTTTAGAATGGTAACATGGCCGTTTAGAATGGTGATATGTCGAGATGGGTCATCCCTTTTCTTTACGGGTCATCCCATCCCCACCTGTGTCTCCTTGGAACATCTGGACGTCAGCAACATGGCAGCGAAGGGAGCCATGGGCAGCGCCACAGAAATCAAGAGCCACAGATCCAAATGGCCTCCTGCAGGATGGTGCCCAGTGACCCAGTGATGTTTGTCAGGCAAAAAAAAGCCCATTAACTATAGTTAAACCCATGAACTATAGTTATATCAATGTTATATCTACCATAAACCATTAAACATATATTTAAAAATATCATACTTAAGCCACTATGGGTTGTTTTTCCGCTGGACTCTGCATCCTCCAACTATTGAAGTAGAAAACATGGTGACATGGGTCAGTTTGTTTCGCTGGGAGCAATCGACTTTAGTAGATATGCTAATATAATAGTGTTGAATTATGTTTGATAGATTTTGATAGTAAAGCCCCCCATGATTGGGGTTGCATTCACCATTTTACTGAGTGAAATCTCTATTTTTTCTGTGCACCAGCTCATTATTCATCTTCATTTTTAGGCTATAGAGCCAATGACTTGGATGCTATCATTAAGTTATGGGAAGATCAATAAAATATGGGACTGATGTGGATAAAACAATTTCATTTCACTAACCATGACTAGGAATGGTAAGTTTATAGCACCTATAAAAATGGTGACGACTGGGGGATGGTAAACATGGCATCGTTTTACCCGCATGATCTTTCTCCCCGGCCACCAGTCGTTTCCTCGATCCACTCGGCCACCGATCAAGGGGGCCAAAGCGGTGTTTAAGCCACCTCCGGTCAGGGAAAAAAACATGATTGGCCTCAAACTTGGAGATAGCCCAAAACTGGTTTGTTAAGATTCAAAAAAAAACTAAAAATCACCTTTCTGGAAGTAAAATTGCGTGGTAAAATGTGCAAAAATATTTGACTCGATGTTTTTGGAGCTAACAGATTTTATTTAAAAAATGCCAACATAGAAAGAGAAGCCATGCATCATAGATATTATATATATATATATACATATTCACCAATGACCAATGGTGCTACTGCGGTACACTACCCATGACTCATAGGAAATTAGACTTTTTTGGGCGTAGCAATAGCAGGATCTCAACATACGAAGGCCCCCCCACATGCTGGATTGGTCAGCAATGTCAGCAGGTGAGTTTAATGGGAATGGGATGCAGCCTCTAGGGATATCATCCGCAAACATGGCAACCACTGGGACACTGGGACACTGATCCGCCTTTGATGCTCACCAAGAAGCCAGCCACGAGGAAAGGTTGCTGGAAGGTTTCCTGCCAGGAATGGGGAAATAGAAAGGCCCAAGGATTGAAATTCCTAAAATGTTGCTGTTCAGAATATGGAAAAATGACCCCGTACACTTTGAACTTTAAAAGATTGAACAGTCCTTGGCGCAAACATACCTATCAGGTCTCGGCAACACACCATGCTGCTGCTGAAAAAAGGTTCTCACACTTCTGAACAGTTTCATACGACTTTTTGTCAACGCTGAACATCCTAAAGTTGAGTGGTTTACTATTTCCAACACCGAACATGTTAAGTCCGTTGGTGGTTTCAAACCATCCAACTTAAATGTGTTTTTTTTGATCCTCATTCCAGATATAAATATATATATATGTATGTACCCTCGGGGACCCAGGTTCTCCGATGACCGCACACCGGTTGTTGCTCCGCTGCAGATGATCACGTTGTATCATGCTCCGCGACAGGGCGGGGTGGGGTGGGGTGTGGGGTGGGGTGGGGTGTATTATCGTTCGTGGAATGTTGATCACGTTGTTGATGCTCGGCTGAAGATGATCACGTTGAATCATGCTCCGCGACAGGGCGGGGTGGGGGGGGGGGTGGGGTGGGGTGGGGTGGGGTGGGGTGGGGTGGGGTGGGGTGGGGTGTATTATCGTTCGTGGAATGTTGATCACGTTGTTGATGCTCGGCTGAAGATGATCACGTTGAATCATGCTCCGCGACAGGGCGGGGTGGGGTGGGGTGTATTATCGTTCGTGGAAATTTTCCCATCGAAGTGGCACCATGGCATGTGACAGGAGGTATTGAATGCAGGGAGCTGGAGTATCAAGCACTGGATGATTTCTGGTTCGTCAATCACTTGATTGATTTTGATGATTGTTCAATGGTGAAAACAGAAATAATTAACGCTTACTTGATGATGATTTATTGGAATTGTTTGGATTAAGACAAGTAATCGTTGGTTCATGCTCCATGGTCAGTGTATAATAGTGAACAATGATGATCCATTACTATGAACAAAACTAGCTACATGCATTCTTACAGTGAGTGATCATTAACAATATCATTGACCATATCATAAATTACCACAAAAAACAGCACAGATGTCGAAACAAAAACAATATCTTGAACCCATATGGGAAATACCATGAAAAATTCACCACACATGAGCTTCGATTGGGGAAATACAATGAAAACACATGCACGAAAGATTTAAAAAAAAAAAAACATGCTGACTGTCAGGGTTCCTCACTTTCAAGCAACATTCAAATGTAGTGCAAATACCATGTAAAATAAGGCTACCTTTATTTTGCTTGTGAAAACACAGGGTAAAATAATATGTTTCAACATATGTTGCATACCATCGCAACGTATCTGTGCTGTTATAAGGGGATTTACAACTATACCCTCCTAACCCATATCAAGTAAATCACAACTTTGTAAGCGCTCAAAACGGACGAGGTTTTTTTCATCCGTTTTGATGCCCAATTCCACATAACAATGCTTCATGTCAAAATGCTAGTTTCGCTATGGCGAAACGCACATTTTTCACATGTTTGATCATCAACACCTATCATCTATCGGAGAACCTAGGGCCCCATCCGTATATGTATATATATTTAGGATGGCAAAAATAAACAATACCCGTATCTATCACTCGTGTCTATATAAACCCAACTACCCTCTGGTAAACGTTTATATAACTATGGAAAACATTGGAAAACCACCATGCTATGTAGCTGGGTAAAACAACTATTTCGACTGGGCCATTTTCAAGTTCGCAAACTGTGAATGTTTACCAGAGGGACCAAAGGCTACCAAATATGATTGGGAAAAAAACCCGGTGATACCCTCAATGGTGGTCAACTCCCAGTCAGAAAAAACACATGTGTGTGATCATCTGGTGTGCAACTCTGTGAGCATCCAAAATTGGACCTTGTTGGTCAATCACTCAAACCTCCATATTATATGTAATTATATAATATTGTTTGTATATATCATGTATATATATATGTATATATATCATTGTATATCATTTACATATTATTTGATAAATCAATTACCCTACGTCACAGACTTTTTGAAGGGCTTACCCACATTGTTCCCTACTCTAGTAGATCCCCCTGATTCCCAAGTTCTCCCATGTGTTTTTCCCAAAAAAAATTGCCGGAAAAAACCGGGATCCGAAGCGCCTGCTGAAGCTGGGAAAGTTGAGTGACTGGCAGCCCCAGCAGGATCCCCAGCAGTGCCAAGATCAAGGCTTCGCGTCGCAGCTCGGATAGCACTGCCATTGGGGACAGATCCAACTATTCCAAGGTCCATGCGGAATTGTTGGATTTTCTCATTTTGATCCAAAAAAAACTGCACTCATTTCATGGCGAGACTATGAGACTATGGGAAAAAATCATCGAGTTGTGCCGTGGGGATCCCCGGGGCCCCCGGCTCCGGTAAAGTGGCCTGAACCTGGGCCCGGCGTTTGGGGAACCAGATGTTTTTCCTGTTTTTGGTACCTGGTAACTGACAAAAAGATCGAAAAGTCACTTGAAAAAAATGTGAAATAATAGCTGCACAAAAGCCTAATCGATTAGTTTAGTTTTTGATATCTTTGGGTTTGAAAAGTAGTATCACAAAAGATAGATAGGATCTTACTATTCTATCTTTAGGGGGATTACTGTAGTGGCTTCTATATGGGTGATTAACCAAGTAGTAGTTGGTCCGGCACACCCACATAGGAAAAAAACAACATGTGGTTTCTACGATAAAACATCAGGTTTGTAGGGGCACACACAATTTCACTAGCTAGACTATGGATGACTATGGCACTGTGGATGTATAGATGATAGCTGCTCATAATATGATGAATGAAATATGCCATATACATACGTAATTTAGACATGCAAATACACATGACATGTACATGACAGGTGTATGACATGTACATGACATGTCAATGACATGTACATGACATGTATATGACATGCACATGACATGTATATGACACGTATATGACATGGATTTGACATCTATATGACATGTACATGACATGTATATGACATGTATATGACATGTATATGACATGTATATGACATGTAAATGACATGTACATGACACGTACATGTACATGACATGTATATGACATGTAAATGACATGTATATGACATGTATATGACATGTATTTGACATGTACATGACATGTATATGACATGTACATGACATGTCAATGACATGTACATGACATGTATATGACATGTACATGACATGTATATGACATGTACATGACATGTATATGACATGTACATGGCATGTATATGACATGTACATGACATGTAAATGACACGTATATGACATGTATTTGACATCTATATGACATGTAAATGGCATGTATATGACATGTATATGACATGTATATGACATATAAATGACACGTACATGACATGCACATGTACATGACATGTATATGACATGTATATGACATGTATATGACATGTGTATGACATGTATATGACATGTAAATGACATGTACATGACATGTACATGTACACGACATGTATATGACATGTAAATGACATGTACATGACATGTATATGACATGTATTTGACATGTACATGACATGTATTTCAAATGTATATGACATGTATATGACATGTATATGACATGTACATGACATGTACATGACATGTACATGACATGTCAACGACATGTCAACGACATGCACATGACATGTGTACGACATGTTTATGACATGTATATGACACGTATATGACATGTATTTGACATCTATATGACATGTAAATGGCATGCATATGACATGTATATGACATGTACATGACGTGTATATGACCTGTACATGACATGTACGTGACATGTATATGACATGTATATGTTATAAGCTAATCTAATCTAAGCTATGAACATAAAATGAAGAGAATGAGAATGAGAACATGACTCCTCTGAATTCGGATCTCAGCCGCCCCACCGTCCAGTTGAAGACTCGGGCTCCCAGCCCTCACAGGGTGCAACGCAAAAAATGTTGGGAGCCCTGCAATGAATGGGGTAACCCCCAAATGGATGGTTTATTTAATGGAAAATCCCAAACAAATAGCTGGATGATGAACAGGGGTACCCCCATTTATGATCATCAATGCTATCAGTTTCATTATTATATGATTCGCATCGAGCCACAGATTGGAAATGTTTAAAATTATTTTTTTTCATTTATTTTTCATTTGGGTTTTCATTTGTAACTTCATTTTTTTTTCATTTTGTTTTTCAATCATTTTTTTGTTTTCATTTATTTTTCATTTATTTTTCATTTTTTTTCATTTTTTTTTCGTTTTTTGTTTCTCCAAACTTCATTTTTTTTCATTTCAAACATCATTTTTTTTCATTTCAAACTTCTTTTTTTTTCATTTTAAACTTCATTTCTTTATCATTTTTTTTTCATTTTCCTTTCCCGTGGCACCTGAAATCCAGGAAAACCATGAAAAACAATGAAAAACAATGGAACACCATCAAAAACAGAGGAAAATGAAAAAAAAATGAAGTTGCAAATGAAAAAAAAATGAAAATTTGGACTCAAAGTTGCAGATTCTCACTCCGAACCAGGAAATCTTCAAAAACTCGAGGAAATTTTCATTTTTTTTCATTTTTTTTTCATGTTTTTTCCTTTTTTTTTTCATTTTCCTTTCCCGTGGCACCTGAAATCCAGGAAAACCATGAAAAACAATGAAAAACAATGGAAAACCATCAAAAACAAAGGAAAATGAAAAAAAAAATGAAGTTGCAAATGAAAAAAAAATGAAAATTTGGACTCAAAGTTGCAGATTCTCACTCCGAACCAGGAAATCTTCAAACACTCGAGGAAATTTTCATTTTTTTTTCATTTTTTTTTTCATTTTTTTCATTTTTTTTTCATTTTCCTTTCCCGTGGCACCTGAAATCCAGGAAAACCATGAAAAACAATGGAAAACCATCAAAAACAAAGGAAAATGAAAAAAAAAATGAAGTTGCAAATGAAAAAAAAATTGAAAATTTGGACTCAAAGTTGCAGATTCTCACTCCGAACCAGGAAATCTTCAAAAACTCGAGGGAATTTTCATTTTTTTTTCATTTTTTTTCATTTTTTTTTCATTTTCCTTTCCCGTGGCACTTGAAATCCAGGAAAACCATGAAAAACAATGAAAAACAATGGAAAACCATCAAAAACAAAGGAAAATGAAAAAAAAATGAAGTTGCACATGAAAAAAAATGAAAATTTGGACTCAAAGTTGCAGATTCTCACTCCGAACCAGGAAATCTTCAAAAACTCGAGGAAATTTTCATGTTTTTTTCATTTTTTTTCATTTTTTTTTCATTTTTTTTTCATTTTCCTTTCCCGTGGCACCTGAAATCCAGGAAAACCATGAAAAACAATGAAAAACAATGGAAAACCATCAAAAACAAAGGAAAATGAAAAAAAAATGAAGTTGCAAATGAAAAAAAAATGAAAATTTGGACTCAAAGTTGCAGATTCTCACTCCGAACCAGGAAATCTTCAAAAACTCGAGGAAATTTTCATTTTTTTTCATTTTTTTTCATTTTTTTCATTTTTTTTTCATTTTCCTTTCCCGTGGCACCTGAAATCCAGGAAAACCATGAAAAACAATGGAACACCATCAAAAACAAAGGAAAATGAAAAAAAATGAAGTTGCAAATGAAAAAAAAATGAAGTTGCAAATGAAAAAAAATGAAGTTGCAAATGAAAAAAAATGAAGTTGCAAATGAAAAAAAATGAAGTTTGATGGCAAAAGGTGATGAACAAAAATGAAAAAAATGAAGATAAAATGAAAAAAAAACGATAATGGAAATGATAATGAAAATGAAAATGAAAATGGAAATGAAAATGAACATGAAAAAAAATGAAAAAATAATAATTTTTGATGGTCTCAGACTGTAGCAGTAAGAATCTTATAACATTATTATCACTGTCATCCCTATCATTAAATAATAATGGGATAAAATGAGATTATTACCGTTATCATTGTTATTGTATATCATTATCATGATCATCACTAGGAGAATGCCCCCTCCCGCCTGCGAGCGCCTGGGACAGTGCTTTGATCTGCCGTTCAAGCACCTCTGCTGGACACCGCAACGGATTCTGCTTGGTTTCGCCAGTTTCTCTGGTGGGATGTTGGGAAAAATATGGGACAATCATGGAACATCTTCACCGGAAACCATGGTTTTTCCTTGCCTTCTTCCCATGGAAACCATGGTGATTTTTTGCCAGTTTTCCCTAAACCAAGCCATTGTTTGAGTTTCACCTTCAAGCATGCTACTTCATAATCAGCATCATCATCAGCATCATCATCATCATCATCATCGTCAGGGCCATCCAAAAAAATGGCAAGATGTCGACATGTCGGGGATCATCCCAATGGATCTGGTGATATTCAGGCCATGTCAACGTCCATGGTAAACATACAAAAAACCATGGAAAATCACCATGCTATTGATGGGTAAATCAACTATTTCTATGGCCATTTTCAATAACTATGTCTGTTAGTTTACCAGAGGGTATCTTGAATTCAATATCCGACAGTAATATGAAACAATATTGGTTTCAAAGATGAAATGTGTCTCCGCTCGAAACAATGTTCATCACTGGATCATGAAAGCCTTTTGTCTTGACTGGAAAATCACGTGGAACATGGTATCCACTGAAAGCAACAAAACTGATTTCTCCTTTTGGCAGGTAAAGGTTGGAACTGCCAGCCCTCACAGACACACACTTCAATGACCAGGCAGCTTGATTGGGCACTGGCCCAGAACGGTTCTATTGCGATCCGGTCCCACCGAACAAATCTAAACTTTGAGAACTGAGTATTTGGTATTGTGTATATATATATCATTCCTCCAGGTTTGCAACTGGAAACTAAAGTTCTGACCCATCCATGTTGGCTACTTGAATTAAATATACTTAAACCCATCTGCAGTGGTTCCTTCTCGACCCTTGTTGGTCAGAGTTCAGGTGGATTCTGGACAACCAGTGGATTACCAAAGGGGTACACTTCCCAAATGATCAAAACAAAGCCGCGGCCATCCATCCAAGTTTCCATACGGCGAACCTAATTCCAGTTTTTGTTTGGGTTCCATACATGTTTTCAGGGTGAACGCTACTAGTATTCCTCAGTTGCATCCCAAGTTTACACTTATTTGCTAGCCAACAAATCCATGTCCCTAACCTTCCAGACACCCCAAATCTATTCAGGAATGGGGCGCACATAAGGGCAATTCAATATCAAAGGGATATGTAGTTATATTCCCACTGTATTTCCTGTTGGTTCAACCCCATCTAAGTTGTGTGTGTTAAACA